GTCTGGGACGTGCACAGTGAAGTTTATATTGAGACCACAGAAAGAACCCGTGTGTATAAGACTGAGGAGAAGACCCCAACAAGTAAGGAGGAGCCTTGTCTCTGTTTCTCAGGTCCTGTGATTATCACTGTCTTCCCTGTGGCTTTGTTTGAAATAATTCATCTCCTTCACCAGTAACTGTTTACTAAACAAAAAGTAACAAGCATGCAGGAGCCTAAAAGTAATGCCACCATAAAGAAACTCAAATATTTCACTGATATCTCTCGATTTGAAATTAAGCCAGTGTCACACCCCGGGTCTGGAAATCCCTTAAATCCCATTAGAGTCACTGAACCTACATCAGCACAACATGAACAAAGTCATGGTCCAGCAAAGCATTGTGTCTCACCAGGTCCTCCCTATATGCAAGTGACAATAGAGGATGTGCAGGTGGATGCTGGGGAGCGTGCCAAATTTCAGGCAGTCATCGAAGGGACCCCTCCACCTACTGTTCTGTGGTTTAAGGTAAGGGCAAATGTGTTCCTGGCTGAGGATGAGGAGCACAGAAAGGGCTGCAAAACAACGCTTCTATGGGGAAAGCCTTTTTGCTCTGTCATTCTACACCTGTTACACTGAATCTTATCCGTAGATGTGTTTGGTTTTGTTTTTGTTTTTAATTAACTGCAGTTCTCTCTGGATCCGCCACACTTGAATTTTGCCTTGTGATGTTGCAGTGTCACTGGGGCTCCTTCCATCAGATCATTTTGGGTACATAAATAGGCAGGAAGGGAGGTTGGTGTCGGTCTGAGAGCCACCGGGGTGCATGCTGTCATTTTTAGGGTCAGGAATGGGATGAAGAATGTTTACTCCAATTGTCAACATGTTTTTCAGGCTCTGTATCTTTTTCATAGTTACTTGGTAAACAGAGTGCAAGGACAGTAAATAATGCAATAAAAAGTATGAGAAATCATTTATCGTTTCCCAGAATACTGTTTTCCCCCTCAAATATTGCATCATTCCTAAATCAATCTGTATTAGATTTCATCTGATATCTTCCTGCCCAGTCAGGCAGGCTTGGCATGCTGGAAAAGCCAAAGAATGAACCACATCCAGAGCTGGATCCCTCCCCAGCCCTCATTCTAATGTATAGGCTCTGAAATAGAAATGTTGTATAAGCAGAAAAACATTTAGCCATGGGTTCTTCTTCAGCAAGCATTTTGTTAGTGACTTCGGTAGATGGAAAAGTATGTATTGTAACTCTGCTCTTCTTTCTCATTTCTTGAAGAGAAGAAACATCTGTTTCCATCTTGGTTCTCCGATAACAAAAAGTGGTTCCATTCTTTCAGGGCACCACGCTGCTGACAGACAGCGTTAGGCTCCATCAAGGGAAGGCAGGAACGACTTATTTCTTAATCCTGGACAACGTTGTCTCAGAAGATGGTGGTGTTTATACCTGTGTTGCCAAAAATGCAGGAGGGGAGGTTTTGTGCAAAGCAGAGCTTGTTGTACATGAAGGTAACACCATTCTTTGAGCTGCGTGAGCTGCTTCAATAACCTCTGCAGTGTGCACTCATCTTCCTTTGGTGTCTGCCACGTGTTCCAGCTTAGCATCTGCATGATAGCAGTATGGCATTATCCTGTGTAAAGGGAAATCTTCTAATGACCTGCAAAGAGCAAATGAGTTGGGCTTCTTTGTTTCTTTTATCTCTGCTTGAGAGTATGTGATGGAGTGACACCATGGGCAGCAGAAATAAGCACGGCCATGCTGCAGTGTTCACGTTGGCAAGTTGTGTAATCCAACAGCTATACCAAACTCTGCAGAAGCTTAGAGGAGCCCTGCACATTTTCCTGCCTTTTGTTGTCCTGAAATAACTTTGTACACCATTGGCGATCTGAATATTAACCTTCATATTTTTCTTCCTTTCCAAAGCTAAGAAAGACCAAGCAGCAAAGAAAGTGGCCACCCGGAGAAAACTCCATTCCCTGTATGAGGTTAAGCAGGAGATTGGAAGGTAAATGGGTTTTCCAGCATCCAACATTTTCCAACATCCAGTTGCCCACCCGAGCTGCCAGCAGCAGGAACAAGAGGCAGAACCATGAATAAATCCAAGTGAGAGATTGCCCTGATACAGGGGTGCTGGGAACTCTGTTCTGAAGTTTCTGACAGGCTGGAGAGTGTGTGGAGCCCACAGGTCACTCCAAGTGATAAAGTGCTTGGGGGCTTTGAGGTCGCACTGAGTGACACGGCCTGTGGTGATCACAGACATGGGCTGATGGTTGGACTGGATGGCCCTAGTGGTCTTTCCAACCTTAATGATTCCATGAGTAGGTGCCCATGTATGGCTCTTGGGCAATACTAAGCTCAAAAGACCACAGCAATGCAGGCACCAGCACCGCGTTCATCCAAGGGATCTGAGAGCATCAGCCTTTGTCAGCACACATCTGGAAAAGGTTTTTCCTTCAATGGGAACTCGCTGCTTAGTTTTAGAGACAGCCAGGAGAGGGCAATAGCAGCTCACACACAGGGAAATCGGAGCTGTGTTGGAGAACGTAAGCCCTGAGCAGCAGGAGCCGTCAAGGCTGGGGCACGGAAAGGTCCTCACCTGCTGAGCAAGAGCTTTGAAGTGGGGCTGAGCCGGGTTTGTGCTCTGATTCTGCCCAGGGGCTGCTTCAGCTTTGTGAAACGAGTTGTACACAAAGGGAACGGAGTGTCTTGTGCTGCCAAATTCATCCCTCTGCGAAGCAAAACGAAGGCTCGGGCGCATCAGGAGAGGGACATTCTGTCCTCTCTGTCCCACGACAGGATCACCAGGCTGCTGGATCAGTTTGAAACGCGGAAAACCCTGATTTTGATCTTGGAGTTGTATCCTTTTCTGTGTCTCCAAGGAGGCTGGAAAGTAATGAGAGGACGTCATTGCTTAAATAGCTGTGCTAATTAGCAATTTTTAGCTTTTGCTGAGATAGCAGAACACACCCAACCATTCCCCACAGCGCTCAGTGTCCTCACTGATTTACTGTGTTCTGCTATAGTAGGAAAAGCATTGATACCTGCATGTGTGAGTGTGAATGAGCCATTAAGCACCAAAGCTCTCTTCTGGAAGGGAAGGACTCTGTTCCCAATGAGATCTCATGAATTCTGGCCTCTCTCAGTTGAGATGAGGTGGCTACAAAGTAAAAATGTCAATTTAGCTTCTGGATGCTAGAAACCTCCTAAATAACAGAACCTGAGGCTCTCCAGGCAAGCAAGGCATTCACATGAACACCACTAATAAGAGCAGAACAGCTACTTTGTAGGTGAGAAGGGAAGATGAGGTGCTGGAACTTGGGAGAAGAGACAAGGCAGCACTGCAATGTGGAGACTCAAATCCCCAAACAAGCCTTGCCCTTCTGGGGAGCAGCCACGATCTCCAGAGCCTTGAATACGTTTCAAGAACTGTGGAGATGTGGCACTGAGGGATGCGGTCAGTGGGCATGGTGGGATGGGTTGGGGTTGGACGTGGGGATCTCAGAGGTCTTTTCCAACCTGAATGATTCTAGGAGTCTGTAGCTGTGGTTCTGTTTTATCTTAACGCTGCTGTGAGATGCTCCAGTGAAGAGCTCCTCGACCGTTTATTCAAGAAGAGCGTGGTCACCGAAGCAGAGGTAACCTCCCCTTCTTATTTCAGTGTCCAAAGTCGGTGGGAACCACCTGATCCTTCAGCACAGAATAACATTCACCTGCATTTGCTATTTCCAATGTGAGAAATACACTTGAGTTAGCGATCATCTGTCTCTCCATATCTTCATTGCCTTTGTCTCCTGAGAATTGTACACACACCCAACTCCCTTTCAGTCTCCAAGGATCTGAAATGAAATGATGCTTTCTCAGATAGTTTTCCTGATTGTTATTGTCATGGTTTTTTAAATATTGGGTGCTCAAAGCTCAAAGGGTTTCACATCCCCCATCTAGAAGCCAGGTTTCCCCTATTTGTTGCTAAAAACTGATTATTCTTGGAAATGTTCAGGGGGAAATGCCAGTTAACACTTCAGTATTGAAAGGTAGAGGACTTCCAGAGTTGAAGGTGGCTGTAAATTTTCCAGCTCAATCTGTTCCTCCATCACATTAAAAGAAACAAAGAACCATTGGTGGAATCAGGGATCCTCTTTACCTAACATTAATATTCAGTGACTTAATGGCTGATTGCTACAAATCGTGTTGTTTTTTCTTTCAGGTGAAATTGTACATAAAGCAAATTTTGGAAGGAATCAATTATCTTCATGACAACAACATCCTTCATTTGGACATTAAGGTAACGTGAAGTGGCAGGTCTTGTTTCCCATAGCCTCTTGTTGGCTTAGGTATTTTCCATTCGAATTATTCTTATCTGCAACTGAAAATATTGCCTGATCTCAATAAAAGCTTCCTTACATTTTGTTTTATTTCATTTTCCAGCCTCTGAATATCCTCATGGTTTATCCCGAGAGGGAAGACCTTAAGATCTGTGACTTTGGGTTTGCTCAGAAGATCACACCCTGGGAGCCTCAGTTCAGTAAATACGGCTCTCCAGAATTCGTTGCCCCAGAAATCGTCTCTCAGTCGCCGGTGTCGAAGGCAACAGATATCTGGTAACCTTTCTAAAAAGCTTTTGCACTGAACGGCCTGAATTTGGGTCATCCGGGTTACAATAAGTGTTTCCTTAGGAGCATGTAATGATGTTACTGTGTGTACATTCACCCGACAGGGCAGTTTATTGCAGTTGCATCAAAGCATTTTGCAGTTTTTGACACAAGCTCAGTTCCTTTGGCTCTGCCAAAATGACAGTGTAGAACTATGGGGAGTCCACTGTGCAGAATCCTGTGCTGCTGAACAAACCTGGAATGTCTGCTAGGTAGCAACTGTACCAATTGCTCACACAAAGAGAGTGAATAATACCGTATGTTGGTAGAGATGGTGTGGTTAATAAAGGTGATTCCATGCAAGGAAAGGGAAGAATAAGGGAAACTGAAAGTGAACACTGAGAATCCAAAACACACTGAGGCTATTTAAAGCTCCTTTTTCTTCTATTTTGGTCAACAGTAATTGATGCTTGACAGCTGATTAATGCAAAGAAGCGTCCCAAGGAAAGCGGTCTTTAATAAAATAGGTGGTAGCTCAAAAGCGTGGCCCCAGGAGGCCCTCTAGAAAAGAAAAACAAACTCCACAGAAGTATTTTGAACCTTCTTCTTCACTCATGCTTTAAAAATGGAGGAATACTTGAGACCAGTTTTATAAAAATGCTGCAAGACAGGAAAAGAAAACAACTAAAAACCAACAAAGGGTGAAAGCAAAAGCTTTGGGGATTTATGACCTTGGAAAAGGGGCAGTGTGCTTGAGGAGGGCAAAAAGGACAGGCATCTGACATTTTTGTTCCCTCTGTCCTCAGGGCTGTTGGAGTCATCACCTACTTAAGGTAAGAACACCTGCTTGGATGCTCTTGTTTGATGCCCTTTTGTGGGTCAGAGCCTTCAGCTCCATCAAGTGTGGGCTCTGCAGGAGTGAAGCATTGAGATCTGCAGTGATTTGTTTTGTAACTCTCTTCGTTGGCTGCTCTTTCTGTGTTGCCAAAGGCCTTTCGGTCCCTGTGTAAAGCCCTGAGCACTCAAGTCTTCCTCTTGCCCATTTTAGCCACCGTAGCCATCGACCTCACCTGTCAATCAGGGATAAATAATTCAGTAGGATATTGAAAAAATGGGGTGAAAGATGCTCTGTAGTGGATGCTCTGTTGGTGAGCACTGCCCACATCCCACACACAGAGTTCCTCAGGCAATTGAAAGCCCCACGTGGATGTTTGTGCTTTGCTCATTTGAACAGCAAACACAGCTCTAAAGTCTGTCCCCTTCTATTTTATGGTGTTCAATAAACAAGCCTGACGTGCAAGTCTCCATTTGCTGGGGAAAATGACAGAGGAACACTTCTGAACATCCAGAAAGGAGAAATTTCGTGGGCCGCTCCTGATTTTGTTCATCTGAGTGAAGATGCAAAAGATTTTATCAAGCGGATCCTGCAGCAGCAGCCCAAGTAAGTGCCTTCCAGTGCTTCCTAAAGGCAGCCCACAGAGATGCCGTGATCTCAGGATCTGTGGTGAGCCTCAAAGCAGCCAGGAGGGTTGTTCCTGCTCAAGGGAAGGAAACCTGGGGCTGAACGCTGCTTTCTGCATGGCTTCTCAGCTCCAAAACATCAGTGAAAGACTAAACAGAAATGTGTCTGCACAGGGTGGGCACCTTCAGGAGCATCTCCTGGCTGCTGTTTGAAGTGATTTGCTAACATGGTGTTCTTTTCTCTGATCAGGGACAGGCCTGGTGCTTTGGACTGCCTTTCCCACAGGTGGTTCATGGTAAGTTGGTCCTGGTTCCTTACTACAGTCAATCATTATTTTTTTTGATTGGAGGAGACTCTTAGAGCAACTCTTAAGGCTATTTGAGAACTGTTTGCTGCTTTATTCCTTCCCTTGGTCTCCCACTTTCTGTCCTACACAGAAGTGCTGGTTTGGCTCTCCAGAAAGAGGAGGCACATTGGTGCTGATTGTCAGGATATCCTCCCTTTCCAAAGATTACTACCAACATGAGTAAATACAGCATCTCCATATAGAGAAGAAGCTGTGGCTTTGCAGAAGGAGGTTATGTTTTACATCCCAGTGGCTTAAATCCCTACAGGCAAAGAGTTAAATGGTGTTTTTTTTTTTCATGGGAGCTTTGTAACATGCACTGCACGAGGCTTGCTCTTATAATTGAAAAGCTGATGTTGCCTACAATAAAGGGTTTGTGGAATTTGATCTGTTATTTCTCAAATAAAGCAATTGTGGAAGACGTCACTCCTTTAAAAATTGATAGTAATAATAATCAGGAAATGCAGTCAGGATTTTTCATCCACTGATTTTCCTCTCATTCCACCTGGCAGCACAATCTTCCCCTCGAAGCAGCTCATTTCATTAATACCAAGCAGCTCAAATTCATTGTGGCTCGGAGCAAGTGGCAGGTGAGTTGGCCCTAAGGTATGTGGGTTCTTTTTAGATAATTATTTGTAATTACATTAGCATCTTTAAAGTCTGTTGGGCTAAGGCAGAGAGCACAGCAAAGATCTCAGCATGGCTACGAATAGGGAATAAGCCAAGAAGCCAATGAATGTGGCAGAAATAAACCACCTGGGCTTTATTATCATCCTGGGTTGTGTGCAGGGCTCTTCCTCCAGGCACTGAAACAAAGATTAAGGCACTTGTCGTTAGGTGGGTAGATGTGAGGAGGTGTCAGCATTCCTGCTCAAAGCAGAGAGAGCAGTGGAGTCAGAAGAAATGTGGTCTTTTACTTTGTTGTTTTTTTTGAGTATTTCTATGGCATATATGGACTGTGCCCCTTACACTCCAGATGTGTAAGAGTAGCACAGCATGGAACAGAATAGGACAGACCATAATAGATAGTTTAATTGGAAGGGACCTACAAAAATTACCAAGTCCAACTGCCTGACTGCTTCAGGGCTAACCAAAAGCCAAAGCATTATTTGAGGGCATTGTCCAAATGCCTCTTGAATACTGACAGGCATGGGGCATCAAATGTCACTCTGGGAAGCCTGTTCCAGTTTCACCACCCTCATGGTAAAGAAATTTCTCCCACTATCCTGTCTGAACCTCCTGTGGCGTGGCTTTATGCTGTTCCCACGTATCCTTTCTTTGGATATCACAGAGAAGAGAGCACCTCCCATTATGTAGACCAGTACCAGTAATGTAGGACTTGGAAATTAAAAGTCCTAAAAAGCAAACAAGGAGGAAATGACCTCCCCAGTGCAGGTGCCCGTACGATACGTGGTTGTGCTTAAGTTGGTTCCCCTCAGCTGTCTTTGCAAATAGTGAACTGCAAAGAGACATGTGCCAACAAGTCTCCTCTTGTAGCTGTCTAAAATAGTCAGATCGATTGCCTGCTGAGGATGCCATAAATGAAGGCCAGCTGCTCAACTTCAGCTGCTTCGACTGCCGTGTCTGACATGGCTGAAGTTGGAGCGGATGATTCCCTCTGCCTGCAATATGGTGGGGCTTCCATTGGCCCAAGCCACTGCAGGTCATACCACAGTCAGTGGATTTAAGGCCATTTACTTCAGCAAGGCCTTTATCTAATGTGTTCAGTTAAAAAAAAACTTTTTCCATCTGCTTTGAATGCTTAGATTGTCTTTATAAGCCCCAGGCTTTGTCCTGCTTCTCTGTTCATAGGAAGTGTGCCCTGAAGCCAATATAGTTTTATTGCTGTGAATGAGAGAATAGGGATGCTCAGAGAACAACTGAGACCTAAATGGATGGTATCTACTAAAGAGTGGCAACATGCTGTTGAAGTATTCTGAGTGGTCCTGAGTGCAGAAAATCATTTCTGTATTTTTGCTTTGCCATTCTCCTCCCACGTTTCCATCTGATTGCACCGCGTTTTGTTTCGGTTTGCAGCGGTCTCTGATGTGCTATAAATCCATACTGGTGATGCGATCCATCCCAGAAATCCTGGAAAGGACTCATGACAACACCTCCCTGGCCATCTCCAGGCACCTGATTGAGGAGAGCACTTCCTCCAGCACCAGCGGCTCGTCTTCAGACAACGAGAACTCACACTTCCCCAAGAAGAGGCATTTTGGCTCTACACCCGAACTACACCTGTCCATATTCGATGCACCAAGCAGCCAGGAGCCTCCAAGGCACGTGAGAGAAGAGAAGCACTCCAAATTCTCAATCCCTCCAGTGAAACCCATGAGGAGGAAGTATGCTGCAATGAAAAGTGAAGCGGGGGACAAATCATCCATGGAAAGCCAAGAGCTTGGGGCGGGTATTTTAGAAGAGAGAAAGGAAGGGCTTCATCCCAGAGAGGAGACGACCCAAAGGAGTCATGTAGCTGAGCCTTCATCTGGGAAGACTTCTGCAGAAAGCCCATCAGATCTCAAACAGAAACCAGACGTAGTTTTAGCTGAAATGGACAAAATTGAAAAGGCCGGGGATGGGACAGAAAAGCCACCTGTGTGTGTTCCTAGACAGAGTGTCATTAAAAGCACTTTCTATAGCCAAGCAGCCGAGCTCCCTGCGAGGGCACCTTCTTCTCCAGGCAGGGAGCTCAGGAGGCACCTGGACAGGGCCAGGAGGACCTTTCGGAAAGCTGGATATTCCAAAGTGCCCCTCAGTGGTCTCCGTGAACCCCTTCTGGAACAGTTTGAACTGGAAGAAGAAGAGAGCAAGGATGGAGATGAGCACAGGGAGAGTCTGCTTGGTTCCCTGACCAAATCAGCTTCATTTGATACTGCGAGGAAACCCCCACATCCTGCCATTGCTGGCTCCAGCCGAAGCCGTTCCCTGGATGACTACAGGCTGAGAGCCTCCAGATCCGTGAGGGAACAAGATATTTTGGAAGAAGACTACGATGTCGCTGCACAGGAAAGTTGCCCTGAAGGCAGTGAGCACTGTGATGTTTCTGCAAAGCCAGGCAAGGGAGGCGCTGCGGGCACCTCAGGAGACATTAGGACAGCCAGCAAGGACTGCTCAGAAGAGCAGCTCTCCCCTTCCACCCACTGTGAGGGCAATGGGTGCCCATCTGTTTCTGTGCAACAGCTAGAGAGACTTCCAGTGTCACCTCATGGAAGCGAGAATAGGAAGCATTTGCTGAAGAAGTCAAAAGCTACTTATATTGACGAGGAAGATTTGGAAGGCAAAAGCCCCGTTCTGTCTGCCCCGCACTCAGACCTAGCTGTGCCACCAGCTCAAAAACATGGAACCCCGAAGGCTAAATCTATTCCTGCGGCTTCTGACATGGCTGTGCAAGAGGGTGAACAGGCCACTTCGGCTCCGCTGCAGTCAGAGACCACCTCCAGCTCTGCTCCTGAAGAGTGCCCCCCCCCCCAGGATTCTGCCCACAGCCATCCTGACCTACAAGGGGAAGGCTTCCTCATCAAAAGGACAGCCCCAGCCGCCCCTTGGATGGAGAAAAGGAGGAAACAGTCCCCCGAGAAGCCTTCTGCTCCCAGTGCTTCCAAGTCTGATCTCACCGAGAGTAAAAGCTCTGCTGCTTTAACAGGCCTGCAGACAGAAATCGGTTCTTTTCCAGTACATAAAGACAGAATGCAGCAACTTTCTGATGAAAGCATTCTGGCACCTACTGCCTTGGAGGGCAAACAGCCAGGTATCCTACCTGTTCCACAGAGAGCTGATAAAGATGCTCACCAGAAGCTGAAGACCTCTAAAGAAGTGATGCCTACTGTCCTGGGGGATGAAGGACCAGCTGTTGCAGGGATCGCCTCGCTGGCAGCCCATGATGGTGAAAGTCAAGCCCACAAGAAGGCTTCTCCTCATGCAGACACATCAGCCATCCCAAAGGGGGAGCATCCAGTTGTTCCCAAAGTCCCACCACCAAAACCAGTGCGAACTTCCATCTCTGGTGGAGCTCAGCACACTGAATGGCCAGCTCACAGCAAGGAGAGGCTTGCTGCTCTGAGGAGTGAAGGTCCATCTGTCACAGAGGTTGCTCCCAGTTTGGTCCATGAAGCTGAAATCCAGGCAGCTGTACCCCAAAAGGCTCCTCAAGGCAGTGGCACAGTGCCTGCTGCTCTGGAGGCCAGACACCCATCTGTAACTGCTTCATCCCAAAAACCACATCTGCCTTCAGTCTATGAGAGAGAAAGGCAAGAGCACCC